ATGGAAACAAGATCATCTCCGGTACTAATGTAACAGTCCTCAATGCACACATTGCTTGATGAATCTGGCGCATTTGGAAGATGTTAAAGGAAAAGATGTTATTTGGAGTTTGATCCTTATTTCCTTTGGAGGTAACAAGAAAATCATAGATAAAAGGGGAATGCAGATAGACCGCCTATAATTTCGTCAAATTGAACTTACAACTCCTATAGTTCTATTGTTGCACACTGACCCCATGAAAGAGTTCTATTGTTGCAGATAGACCCCCTGAGTGAAAAACCTATTGTTGTATATAGAACCCTGGAAAGGATTTTAAAAAAATTCACTGAGAAGGCCTATCTGCAACAATAGAACTACATGGCTAGTAAGTTCAGTTTGGCGATCATACAGGGGGTCTATCCGCAATTAAGTCCAAACAAACTTTGTCAGACACCTTGCAATATCACACAAACATCTATACTCCTGATTCACTGCTAAAGATTAAGAAAAGCATCTACGAAACACGTCCAAATGATGAATTTAACATAGAGACAAAAATACAGTCAAATAGACCATTAACTTCAAAATTAATTATTACTGCTTAAATGAGAAAAGCAAAACCTTTTTCTACCCAACAAAAAAAAGGCAGAAATTATTATTCTTGTTACTTATATAAAATGCTATATGATGAAAGGGGAAAAATAAATAAATTATGCAATGTACTAAAACTGTTTTTGGAAACTAACCTGGATCTATTCCATCTGTGTTCGGAGAATCAAGCGGGGCAATGATTGTGACGTTCTGGACAAAGACTTGGCTGTTAATCCAGCAAAAAGAGTCTCAAGTCTCCCCTATCATATTAAACTCTGACTCGTGCATCAACAAGTAGAGTTAACAAGAGAGGCAACCATGTCCTAAAGGATATCAAGGAACAAACCTGCAATAAACTGGGTGGATAGTCCAAAACGGAGAGTTCCTGAAGGTGAGATTTGTGATGACAACCCGTGTTGAGTACATCAGCTCAATGAGATGCGGGCGAGTATAATCCAGACTATGGCTATTGAACTGATCCCACCAAACACTCCCTTGTCCATCAATAGTCCCATTTCCACCTATTTAAGTATCGAAATTAGTATCTTGCCTCATGGATGATAAATACTTTTGTGCAAACTAGTATTAAAATGTATATTTTACTTGAAAGTAATGATGAAAATGATCTTCTGACCTGTAATAATAACATCAGTCAGATTGAAGCCGTTAATAAGACTCTGATGCCTTCCGCCAGGTAACTCCCGCCCTCTCCCATATGAAGGTAATGGATCAGTGATTGGCCAATCTGATGAATCCTGTAACAGATACTTCTATTAGCATGCTGAACACACTCACACACACAGAGGCGTTATTACTAACAGCTTCTTTAAATTTAGGGTTATTACATGAAACAACTATTATTTGATTGCATATTTAATCTTCAATATTATTTTCACCACAAGAGTTATTTACAGCAGCGTGAGTAGTATAAATGTCAAATGACATTAGATACGTACTCTTTCACGCGTCGAAAAGATTGCAAATGAATATATCACGTAGACATGGAGAAATCTTGAACCCACTGTAACATATCACTGGTATGAATACTACCACCCCTAGAAGCATGGACATGGATACGGCAATAGTAAGAGTGTAACGTGGAGTTTATCACTGATACACAACAAATCCTGAAAGCTACACAAAGACGAACAATGGATGGTATTACTTGCACTATCGTACATCCCAAAGCTTAACAATAGAAGCTTCCATTCTTGCAGCAACCACCTAAGTTCGGCACGTCAATATCACAGAAAAGATCTCGAAGCATAGACAGACTGCGCCGTTTCCATTTTGTTTGTCGCAGACATTATTAGCCAGATGTACAGCCTTTAGCAGAAAACTTGAAACTACAGCAACATGCTAGGTTGGCATCATGATTTATTACTTCTCTATATACTTATGCTCTATTTATTTGCAATTTCTAATCTAAACATTCAAAAGGGTAAGAAGATACAGGACCCTTCGAAACCTTGACATGGACACATGCCTGTATCTTAGATGCATCAGAAAATACAGGGGAAAAAAACCCCCATAGAACTGATAAAGGACTTTATTGAACTCACCACAGATCCAATTATCACAGCATCCTTGTCCAAAAACAAAGTGAGATGGCTGATGAGATTAAAACTCCCAGTCAACCACCTTCCACCCGGCACGAAGAGCTGAGCACCTCCCTTATCGGCAAACGAATGGAGATAGAAGATTGCGTTCTGAAACGCCAACGTGTTGAGCGTGACGCCGTCTCCAACCGCTCCAAACTCCGTTATCGAAACGCTGTGCGGTCGAACAACCTCTGATGTCATCTCCATACAGTTGAAGTCGCGGCTCGCGTTCGAGGCCCACAATGACTCGTTGGTCATCGCGAGGACTAAGAGAACACCCAGAAACTGGAAAACATATTTTTTTTTCTCGCTCTAATGAGTCAATTATGGGTTCAGAATTCATAGCAGACATCAATTTAGATTCGTATAGAAAAAAAAATCTAGAAATTGCAAAGGGTTATTAGAAAAATCTGGCATTTGTTAGAAAAATCTGATCACAAATGTACAATGTGAAATTCACCTCGTGGGTTTCTTCCCTTTTCTTCAGATAATCAAAAAAAAATGAGTAGGGG